TTTTTAATGTTGGGGGAAAGACGTACAGGAGCCTTATCGGATTGATGGTCCAGGTCTGCTGAATGGGGATCAAGGATGCCCAGTTTCGATAAGGCAAAGCGGGCCATCTCGTAAAGGCAATCGGCGATAAATCCAATGAACACGACGGCGGCGTGTAGAGATATGATAAAGTACCCAACTAAGGCCTTATTTCCCTCGTGCACACCGGCCCTAGGGAGAAATGCACAGCTCATCCCGATGATGACGAGCCGAACAGTTGCGAAGCAAGCATGTCTCCACGCCCTTTGTGCTCGCCAGTTCCATAGCAGACAGGCTAATATGAAGACTTCACACGATAGAAGAACGAGTATCTGGCCGAGGCCGGAGGTCTGTAGAGCGCCGATTGCTAACCCCCTCAGGAACGGGACCATGTATAGAGTATCGGAAAGCCAGTCTTGGGAGGAATTTCTCGGGTAGGAGCCCTTGTGGAAGAAATTGTTTTGTCGGTCGTTCTTGACCAAGTACCGGACTATGAAGGCCAGTGATACGGCTAGAGCTGCGACGAAGGAGACTGCGAGAAATGTGCGGTAAACAGGGTACCATGTGGCCAGGAGTGGTTGGTAGAGAGATAAGGCAACGATGGGAAGGAGGAAGTAGTTCAAGAGGACCCGTGCGACACTCCAGCCCGTGTGCTGGATGTGAGTTAGGAATTCCGTTGGAAGGTCTAACATGTGAGTTGAGCCGCGGGTTGGAAACAGCTGCCAGGCCGATTTGATTAACCATACGAGTTGGGCTGCCACTATAACTCCGAGTATCACTAGGGCTAGGTTGACGATTGCGTTGGTCCAGAGATCACTCATTGCCGTTGCTCCCAGGTATTGAGCCATCTCTTCGAAGCCGTAAGTTGCATTTACAGCGTATATATTGTCCTCAACACCAGGGTAGATGAATTGATGTGTAACGGGCCAATTTCTTAGAATCAGTGATGACCAGGCGAGCTCACCTAGTGATGCACGAAAGAATCCGGGATAAGATAGCGTTAGGCATCCAGTCAGAAAGATGAACTGGATGTACTGCAAGCAGTCGCCCATCCCCGGGAGATAAGATTCCGCTGGATCTCGAGATGCATTCGCGAGCTCGTACCGGAAAACTCTCCGTCCACGGCTTCGACAAATCATGAGGGCACCGTTTATGACCCCGGTGAGAAACATGATGGCTAGGGGGACCCCCTTCAAGACCCCCGATGCTGTTGAGCCAATGTACGGGGTGATATTGGCGGCGTTACAAGAAATATCGGTGTCATTCAACCGAAGGCGGATGGTCGTTGCCAAGGTGTTCATGCGGTACGCATGGTCCAATGAGTACGACGCTCGGTACGTTGTGTACGTCCGAGGATCGGATCTAGATCATCAGTTGAGAGCTTCCTGTTGGAGGATGCAATAGGTACCTCGGATAATAGATCGGAGACAACTCCGGGCAGTCAGCACTGGAGTCCAACAGGCGGTCATCAGTAATAACCGAACGACCGAGTACTCTTGCATCAATTGATATGCGTGCCAATGCGCCGCCCAAGGCTTCACAATTATGAGACTCATAATCGCCGCTTAATGTTAAGGACAGTATTGTTTTGTTCGCATGTTTAGTGTCTAGATAGCCTCTCAAGGAAAGTGGCTCAAAGATATGGTCGATTAACGCATCATCCGAGGGGCTGCAATCCAAACGGCGAATAAAAGCCGCATGTACACGTAGGAGCAAGAGTGATATCAACAAAACCCCGAGGTTATTCCTGTGCCACATTGTGTCTTAGACGGAGCACATGGCAGTGGCTCACTCAATGCAGATCCTTCGATACTCGCCTTGTGGTGAGCGGGAAGAAACAAATGTATTAACACTCCAGCTCCGGAATGTTGGGGTCAAGTGGCTCAGCTGGATCTGCACCAGCAACAGCTTTGAGACCCAAAATTTTTCCAGAAAGACAAAAATAGGCTTAGGGCTTCGGATCGGCCACTCCGGCGGCCTTGGCAGGGCGTTATGAAGATCTCCAATTGGCCCTTAGACGCTCGGCTCGTGGGAAGGTTTCCCACCTTACTGGATCAGGAAAAGCCATTGGGCGCTAGTCCGACTTCAAAACAAGCTAGCGGGAAACTATTGCCGTTTTGAATGCCGTCGGTACTCCACACGTTCGTCTCCTTTCTCCAGTATCTCCGGCCAGATGAGAGCTCCCAGATGGATCAGTTACCCGTTGCAGCTAATCAAGTGATAAGCGACGATGATATCGGGTATCAATAGAAGGGCTCATAGGCGCAGCAAGTCTTTGGAAGGCATGGGAACTCTGTGGCCACTGACTATTGTCAAGGCGAGCGACCTTCAACCCGTAGTTGAGATTCAAGATACATTGTACCGCACACCCCACAGTTAGTACGATAAGAACCAACGCGACAGCGGCGAAAAACAACATCATCTCCCTGCCTACAGTATTGGCACGCTGTGAGTTTCCGCAAAGCAAGACGATCCGACTAAGCAGATACGCAATTGACCCGAGGTAGCATGCCTGTTCATCGTCAGGAAATGAGACTTGACGAAAGGAAGGGAGGCTCACAATAACAGCCATCAGCGCAATTTTGAACCCAGACTTGACACAGTAAATGCCGGCGACCATCACCAGTAATGAAGTGGGAATGAGCGCCATTGTCAGGGAATATTCAGGCTCCGCAAAATGCACATCGATCAGGTCATATTGGATGATAAATCCAGTTAGGAAAAAGAAATCGAATTTGATTAGGACCAAATAGATCTGGAGGATGTTAGTCAGAACGAGGGAGAGCATATAGAGATGCTTACCTCATAGGCTAGATACCGCAGCCGGAGCTCTGGACTGCCGTGGATGCATTTATATATTGCCCAGGCGTAGTCCGTGTGAAGCCGATAGGCAAAAGGTGCAATAACGAGCGAACAGATGGTTAGAATAGCTGGGATAGTGACTTCTGCCGGTCGCATTGATGGCCAGATATCCCGAGACCAATCCACGAGTGGATTGCCCATCCCGTCAGCTGAACCCTGCAGTGAATGGGTAATATCTCGCATTTTAATGTACTGCATGACCGCATACACGACAATGCAGACGTTGGTGAGGCATATGGCAAGCAAGGAAATATTGTTTTTGTGGTGGATTGCATCCAGCGAGAGAACGACTTCGTAAATGCATGCGAAAACTACAATACCCATGCCCACAGGAATCACGTATGAAGGCGTAATTTGGATGATATTGGGATTAACCCATGATTGCCACTGAACAAGAATGTATCTGTTACTCGTTAGCCGGATTAAGAATCAATGCCTCTGGACAACTACACTGACATTTCCAAGATAATGACTAGTGCCGCTTGCATTAGAAGAGTCCCACAAAACCACCACTCATTCTTAGTGGTGGGTCTGTACATTTTCTGAGGGGTAGGAGCGCTCCTAATAAGTAGAGGGGGAGAGGCGATATTAACTTGATAACCAGTGGAAAGTCCACGGGGTCGATCTTTATATACGGAGCGATACTTCACTGGGTCAAAATTTTCATGCTCCAGGTGTCAGGGAGCACCAGCTCATAAGTGGGGTCCGGCGCCCTAAAAGTAGGGATCTCCAAGATAGTTCGGCATTAGCTCCCAGAAATATAGAAAAGGGGTTTTGACCCCTGTTCTGAATAGCTTTTTGCTTTTTCCTTTCCTCTTTAAAAAGAAAAAAAAAATGATCTATCAACCACTATATAAGTTTGATAAAATAGAAATTTATCATACCTACATAATAAGTCTTATTGCCCTACTAACCTCCAATTGTGGGATCGAATTAGTGACCACAACTTAGCGTGAGTTCGAGCTAGGGGTAACAAATGGAATCTGATTCGTATTTCATGAAATTTACCACCCCTAGTTCTAGAATTACTCCGGAGTATGGATAGCAAAAACTCCTATAAGTATGCGGAGTACGGAGTACTAACTACGTAGTCTTTCCCCGGCTGGAGATCGAGACCCACTGCTACCCCCACCTTAGGACTTTCAGCCTCTTCTACTCCGTACAGCTGTAACATTTCATGCCAAAGGGGCGGGGACAAGCTCCTGCTTGTCATTGCATGTATTCACTTCCCACCTTCTCCTTGGAAATCTCCTATTGCCCCTCAACGATGAGCCCCTCTTTCCCCTGCCGGAATGTGGTGGGCATCAAAGTCGAGCCCGAGAAAGTTGAGAATCTCCGCCGCAAGTTTGCGAGCCTGCTTGGCCAAACCAAGATCGGCTACCCTGGTGCCGCCCCCCGTTAGCTTCTCCTCGCAACATCTGGCAGAGCTACAGCAAAAAGACTATCATGTCTGTGAGAAGACGGATTGAATTTGGTGTCTAATGTACATGGAGCGCGGGTCCACTGACTCCGAAATATCGGAGATGCAGTACCTGATCGACCGCAAAAACGACTACCGCTATGTACCTGGGCTGCACTCTCCTAAGGCTAATGATGAAACGTTCCTGCCAATCCATGACGATACCATTATAGACGGCGAACTTGTTCTCAATACCTATGAGGACGGCTGGCAGCAGCTGAAGTACCTAGTATTTGATATACTAGCATTAGGCGGACACAGTGTAATGCAGGATCCATTCGACAAGCGCTTAGTTCATTGTAGCCCATTGAGAGCGTGGCCTTAGTATACAACGCTCAGTGTTCATACTTGATTACTTCCAAAATTTTGGTGTTACATATTGTGCAGATGGTACGGAACTGTAAACCTAGAAAAGGACGCACCAGGATCCAACTAGCATTATGTCATTATATTGTCAAAATACCCACTCTGCTTCCATCAATTGCGGGGATAGCTCAGTTGGGAGAGCGTTAGACTGAAGTTCACTTCATCAGATAGACCCACTTGGGTTATCTAAAGGTCGCCGGTTCAATCCCGGCTCACCGCATAACTTTTTGCACACATTTTTTTACTTCGACTTAAGTCATCGAACGAGCGGATGCTACCTGCTACTGTTATGAAGTATTTGGTTGTTCGTTGGGCTTTAGCAGTGTATGAAGTGTTGTGGGCAGTGTGGGTTGCGTGGTTCTGTTTTAGCAACGGTCCATTCCCGAGGAAAAATTTTAGGCACATACCAGGCACCAGGTAGTACCCGAACAGAATACCCATATTGGACCATTCAATAATAATGGTAAAAGGTAAAATGTGAGATTGGCAATGAGAAGTTAAATTTTATGGCTGTTGTCCTGGAACATATTCGCTTCTGTGGTGCGTATATATTTGTTCTTATGTCAGTCGCGGCAGAATATATATAATATGACATTCAACCTTAATCAACACGGTTCTCCTTACAGAACTACGGGTATAAAGTGAGTTCATAGAGTAACATTGAGATACCCAGAATATGAATTTTCTGGTCTCTACAGAGTAGTTAGTAGCTTGCCTACTTTATGAACAAGATGCAATGGTTAAATTGTGGTTGGCCGGGGAGGAGTATAAATTTAGCTTTTGCACAAAACCCTGCAGACAAACATATCTCCGAATAGGGTAAGTGGCAGATCTGACCAACCTAATGTTAATCTATTAAGGTTCGGCGATCGATGACCGTCGTGATTAAAGTACCGCCTATCGCCCTTGCAGCATAGGGCGAACCAAGGGACGCGAGATCAGTTGAAGAATCTAATCGCACGGCTAGATTTTAGAAGCTCCACAGGACGTTTAGAAAATTAAGAGTTACAGATTGCCAGATAAAAATATATGGGGGTATAATTGTGATGCATAATCTATAATACAATATATTGGTCGACTGTACAATGGCCACAATCAAAACTCAAGCAAACTCCGATGCTCCCAACTCTAAAACCCATCCACGCCGTGATGCAGGGAGTATGGTGCTAATATCGTACCCGATGATGAATGAGCTCGGGCGGGCTCGGTATAGACGCGGTGGGGGCGTGTCCCTTGATTTGGTACAACCGCAATTGCAATAAAAAAAGTCCGTTTCTCAGGCTCGTAGTAATAATCGCGAGGCGGGTGTTGTTCTAAGGGGATATATATAATGTAGCGCGAAAAGCGACGGGAGGATGCATCGTCGTGATTTCTCACGGGAAGAACTGTCGCTAATTGGACGGTGAGAGTCTGGTGGGAGTAGGGTCTTGAGTGATGGGCGGATTAGGAGATTAATACGGAAACGCAAACCACCGGGGTTTAAATGGCGTTGTTGGCGCAGGTGAAGCTGCCATGGGATTTATCGTTGTGGATGGCCACACCGGATACCCAGAGGCCCAGGCCACAGATCATGACACCGAAAATAAACAAGCAGACGTTGCACAGAGTGAGAAAGATCTTCATCGGCGAAGCGAAATATTGGCCCTTATAGATGTAAAGCCAAAAGACGCCGGGAAGACCGAAGGTGAACCAACTGACGAAGAGAGCGCTGACCAGACTGAGCAGGTTGCTGAACACGGGAATGGCCTCGGCAATGATCCAGGCAATGACCCAGAAGACTACGGCCAGACCAATCCAAACACCAATGCTCTTCCAACTCCGCTTGTGCATCAACTCGGTTCCACGGAGCATGCGCACGTAAACGTTCTTGATGGCCACGTGGCCCAGAACTACACCGGCGATGACAATGGTGGGGATGGCGATACCGTAGGCAACTTTGCGCACCACCGGACCAGCGGAGCCCAGAGCAGGGGAGGCGACGTTCTGTCCGGCGTACCGGTAGATGACAGCCGATGCGACAGTGTAGAGGATGATCTCGAAGCCCTGCAGCATGCACAGGGACTTGGGGAAGTCATGTGGGTTCTTCATCTCCGCGATAAAACCGAAGAAGGCGGGATGACCACCTGTGTGCCCATGTTAGTCACGTACTTTTGAACGACGTCCATTGGAGAGAAGACCTACAGTAGGCAAAAACAATGTTGGTCACCGCGGTGAAGCCGGTGACGAAGTTCGTCTTGCGAGTGAGCTGCATCTCGTCATATCCGGGGCGCTCGATGCCAACACCGATCATCGTGATCACGACGGCGCAGAAGATACTCAGGAAGGCTAGAATTCCATTGTCAGCCGGTGAATCATGTCATAGCCAAGAGATCAATGGGTTCTTACAGGTCACAGCGAGCCAGGAGACGTTCTTCATGGTTCGGGGCAAGGAGAAGATCAAGGAGAGAACCAAGCCGACGACACCGAACACAATGGAACATGTACCGTGGTCGGTCAAGGTATTCATCATGACGGTGAAGGTCAACAGGTGACTGCCACAAGCGAACAGGAAGAACAGCAGCTGTCCGACTTCGATGACGTGGCGACCGATGGGACCCATGAGGATGAAACCTGCATCGGCCATGCTATGCACGTAGGGATATTTGTGTCGGAATTGTGCGATGGTATAACCCGAGTAGGTGGTGACGATACCGAGACCGACGATGAGAATGATTGCCCTAGTCCATGGAGTCAGTAACGATGGTGTGGGCTGAATTGAACGTGGCGCAATGCTTACGGGATAAGACCAATGGATGCGAGAGTGGCCGGCAGTGACAAGACACCGACAGAGACTGTTTCAGCGATCATGACTATTGTGTGGGTTAGTATTACTTCGTCATTCTGCGCGGGGAGTCGTACGGATTCCACATTGCCTATCAGAGCATTGTTTGTCAGTCAGGCTTCTAGAAGGATTCCTGGGAATGTCGATCACACATACCACCAGTCCAAGGTCTTGTACTTGACTTCTGCCGTCTCTTCAGCACCGAAAGCGTCCACTTCCAGCTGGGGAGGCTCCTCCTTCAGGTTGTCCTCAAAAGGAGGCTTCTCGGAGTCATTCTCCCTCCGATCCAGGCCATGTTCAATATCTTTGACATCAGACGACGCCATGATTGTCGCAAACCAAATGCACACACGGTGTTGAAGATGTGTGTGCGAGGGGAAACGGATTGTTAAAGTAGTAAATAAATATAGAGGAAAGAGAGAGAAAGAAAGAAAGGAACGAACCACGAAGGCGAAACGGGAACGCGGGAGGAATGCGTTAGTTAATAGCGGGCGATGATTGGCAAATCGGAAGGCAAATTAAGAGTTTTCCGTCTGACTGGTCCGATGTCGGGGGCATAACCTGCATTAGAGCCGCTGCTGGCTCCACTTCGTCATTGTTAGTGTGACTCAGAGAAAAGAGGCACCGAGGGAAAAAAAAAAAAAAGGAAATGGACAAATGTTATTCATGAGATGTCGAATCACCTACCTATTGTAAACTAGTGTCCACTGTCTCCTACTCATTTCAAAACGTCGTGAATCCTTCAAGCTGTCGACCCCAGAAACGGCACGTGTTCATCTAAACGGATCTCCCAAAGTTTTAAGGTTTTTCAACGGATGCGGCGGTGGCGCAACTCTAATCGGGGCACCACGTGACGTCGTGCTGATCAGGTTTTGAAGTCTGGGCACTTTTTCTTGGAACTTCTCTCCGCATACTCAAAAGGGAATCTTCTACGCGGTTCCCGCTTTCGGTCTTAGTGCCTTCTCGGCTCCGAGTTGCCGACACGTGGTCCAGAGCTGGACCCTGACAAAACTGTAGGTCGAGAAGGAACAGTATGTCACTGATGTCGCCACAAAACAATGCTAGAGTACTTGTTACGATGCTGACATTTTGTTCCATACTGATTTGATCTGACCATGTTGTCATGGACAGATGGGCACTGACACAATCCTGGTTGATCATTTCGGAACGGAACGGAAATGAATAATAGTAATTATTATCTCATGTCATCTTGCGTGTATCCCGCCTCGCTTGCAGCACAAGGTGACATCCGGAAGGACTTCCTCTCCAGGCCTTAGACTCGTACTACCTCGCAAGGAACTCCGTCGGGATACTCAACTAACCCCGCATAAAACTAACGAATTACCGTGCCCAGATCAGATCTCCCCAGCTGGGGTGGTCGTTGGAGGAAACTCCACCGGCGAACCCCTGGGTCTCCTTTGCTGCCTTGGTCCAGGGCCCGTCATTTCCCCGCGTCACCACGTATTCATAAAATAGAACGTCCCACATAGGGTTCTTGTTTGTGACTCCACGACTGGCCTCGGATATGTTTCGCCAGGGACCATTGACCAGGACGGCTTCACATCGGTACCATTGGGGATCATAAAAGACGGTGTGGTTTAGATTATATTTCGCGGCGTACTCGGCCGCTTTGAGTAACAAGCCACCTCCGAGACTATAAAGATCGCTGCCTTGGCTTTGCCCGACACGAGCGCCGTACGCCGTCCACCCGATGCCCGACATGGTGTGGCCTGATGCTATGTCAGCATGCCTGCCCGAAGTAACTACCGGTCGGTATGAATCAGCAAGGTAACGATGTACTGTACCTTGATCACGCCCAGCCTCCACCGACTGCCCCGTCTCGGGGTGATACATGGCCAATAACCCGGCGCAACGATCGTGGATGAACGCATGAACGGCATAATTATACAATTGCACATCGTCCAGATACACCGCGAAACTCATCAATGCCTTAATGCTGGCCATCCCGTAGTTCGCCTGCCCAATGGCGACAGACTGCCGGGAGAATAGCCAGTACAGCTGATTGCTGAACCCACTGCCGCCCTGCCATCTACTACCGGACTCCGTCCAATTCCCTTCCCATCGCATGATCTCGGCGGCGTTGACGAACAGGTCTCCATCCAGTCCGATGAGCAGCGACCGGTCAATACCGATGATATCCGTCAGATTTGACCCCCACGCGTCCAGGATGCTGGTACTGCGGCTCCAGTGCGATTGGTCGCGGGTGATATACCACATCAGAGCGTTCTGCCACGCGGCTCGCGCGTCATGCGCAAACGAGGAGTAGTTACTGACTTTACCCCGGGAAATCACAGTGGCGGGTCCTTCCATCGTGTAATTGGCGAGGGAGTACTGGTCGGCCCGGAAGCGTTGGTACGCCGATGCCCAGGGTTCTTTGTTACGGAGCACATTGTCCCGCATGCGCTCGAGGTCCTCATGTGTATGCCAAATCCCGGGATGGACGAAGTCTCCAGGGTTTCTTTTGAAATACTGTGCCGTGTCGATGGGCTCGAATGGGCCCACGGCAGGGATGGCCGGGAATATACCAGGTATATCATATACGGTGGCTTGAGCCGAGCCAATGCTGAGGGCTATAATTGCCGCGTACACGATTGTTATTCTATTCTGAGATTGGGCCCACATCAGCTAAAAAGAATGAAAGAAATCAGGGATGGGAGCTTACTAGCAGCATCTTCATGGACCTGGTGAATCGATTGCCAACTGTCGTTTCTAACTAAATCCGTAGCACCAGGTTTTTTTAATGCACCCGATCCATTAACCCCACCGGCTAGTTGAATTATATTATTCGCTGTGCTCCGATTGATTCGCAGATGTAGTATCTCCGACATCTTCCCCATGGGGATCCTGCAACCCGGAGCTGCGCCGGCACTTGCTCCGACCTTGAGCCATTTTAACGTCCATCTTATAGCCTACTCTTATATCTATTACATAATTATTATACCCCCATAACAATGGAAAGGCCGACGTGTTTCAGCATTACCAATTTGCATTGTGTAAAGAGCTCATAGCTTCTTGAATGTCATTCCAAGAAATACTCCGAGTTAAGGAAACCCTACCTAGACATGATTCACCTGATTAAACCCCATCCAAAAATCCCTCTTCCAAGCATTAACAAGCCTCGTCACCGTCGGATTCCCAAATGGAGCCTGCTGCGTCGCAAAGAAGCCCGCAACGCCCAACTCCCGACTCACCCACCACACAATATTAGTCGCTCCACCCCACGCCAGCACATTTCCAGGTTGCCCTATCTCAGCCACCGGTCCAGTACATAACGCACCACCCAACCCGTGATTCACAGCATCATTCGCCACAGGCCCAGCAACAATCGCCCACGCAGGCCGTAACTCCAAGAGCATTTTCACACTGGCTGAACCAGGCACAAGCTGCGGCGTAAACATCTCCGCGATAGTCTCCGGTTTCAACAGCTTCGGGGACTCCGAGATCAAATCTGCCAACACGGCAAGAAAGTCTTTCGCAGTGGAGGAAAGACCGCTACCACCCTCTTGATCTTCGGGGTTATCGAATGGCCAGCTATCGTAGGGCTCCAATCGTCCGTCGTTGGTTTGGACGGCGCCATGCATTATCCGTGCGTTGTATTCGGGGTGCGTTGAGATGTTGAATCGTGGGAAGGGAGCTGAAAGGCCTACTTTCTTCCAGATGTTCTCTATCATGTACTCCTCTAAGGACATTCCATCGTGTAGTCGACTCACAACCACGCCGGCCCAGTCTAGGCTACAGCCGTATAACCAACCATTCCCCGGTTCGAACACTAACGGATACTCATATTTCGCCGTAACGCGGAACGAAGGTTTAGTATCCTTTCTAGCCTGTGCCCTCAGACCCAGTAGTCGATTCGTAAACGGATATCCTAATCCAGAAGTATGAGCCAGAAGATGTCGCGCCGTAATTGGGGTTTTGCTCGGCTCGAAGGTGAAGTCCGATCCCGAGACGTCGGTGAGGATTTGGACGTCGGCGAACTCGGGCAGGATGTTGGTGAGGGGTGAGTCCAGGGTGAGGAGGCCTTTTTCGATGCATTGGAGGAGTGCGATGCTGGTGATGAGTTTCGTGGCGCTGGCGAGTTTGAGGACGGCGGATTCGTCCAGAGGTGAGGCGTCTGCGGAGAGGGAGTTGTAACCGGCTATTTTATTGTAGATTTCATTTCCTGGGGGTGTACGTTAGGAGAACTGAGGAGGAATATTATTCTGGACCTGGGATACCATTTTTATCTATGCATTTGCATATTACTCCGTGTACCTTGGGGTTTTCTTTCGCGGTATACTCGGTGAGGAGGGCGTCGAAGTCGGACATTTTCTATAGCCTTGCAGAGTTGTCGTGACGAGGAGAAATCTAGACTTGTAGGGTTCGTTGAAGATGTGTTGGTAAAAAATTATAGGGAGAGTGCTCGGAGGTCAAACGAAGCTGCGCAAGGCAGCAAGTTTGTTGCTTAGCTTCCCGTAGGAAGAGAGGGGACGAAGATGATTCGATAACTACCTGTACTAAACTACACTATACCCCTCCACAATTACAATAGGCCCACCGGGGGCTCGGAACATCAAAATCAACACTCAATCTAAACACGTCATTTTAACGCGTCAATCGATCGAGAAAGGCCCCCTGAGGCCCCAGGAACCGCTATGGAGGTCCCAAACCCCCATAGTGGTGGTCTACCGAGCGCGTCGAGGTGGGCACCCCTAAACGGCGTGCCACCACCATCACCACCATCACCAACACCGATATATCGCGGGGGCCCTAGGGTCTTAGATATGCCTATAAACCTGGAGCAGATAAGCAGCAGCGAATCTAGCAGAGCCCCAAGTAGGGCCAGCTCTAAAAGCAGCAGAACTACACAGAGCGCTCAAAGCAGCCGAAAGCGGGGAGAACGAGA